AAAGTGACCCTGCGCGAGCCGTACCGTGCCGTACCATGCAGTGGAAAAGCGCCATATGTCAGGGTACGTGAAAGGAAAGCTGCACAGCCTTGAAGTAGTTAGTCTTTCTTCATGAAATGGTGCATCATCTGCAACCAATAGAGACACTCTGGTTACGAAAGGAGAGTCTGTTTGACAGATGTCTCCTGCTTGTCTACTGAAGTCCACTTCTTAGATGGCACCTCATGACTTATGTTCATGGTCAAGGTCGTTTACTGATTCAATGGAGTGCACGCAAAACATAAAACACTGAGCACACCAAATTGATCTGAATAAAAATGTTGTTTGTTTGCTTTTATGACGTTCGTATATTATCTGATGCTCTGAAATGCGACTGCAGGATTTTTCATTAGGATTTTATACCACGTTGCTGATTAGGACTCTTCAGGCTTCACTGGATTATCATACCCATGCTCCTTTGTAGATTAATACCATCAAATGCAGAGTCAAATTCAAGTGTGACTCCAACGACACCCTGAGATTCAATCATGCACGCTTAACCCTGAAACCATATAGCAAGTCGTTATACTTGAACTCAAGCCGCCCCCAAAATTGGGTGTCACTTTAAAAGAAAACTTCTTGGTGAATTACAAAGGTTTTATAGATGGCGATCTCGGCTTTGTTCTTGGAATGAGGACTTCCACCTGTTTCTGATGATGGGAGCTGGAGCCTGTCCCTTTTAAGAGCTTGATCCTTCTTGATCTCTTTGATGTAACGTGACCTAACAGTTCCAGCGAGAAGAATTTGATGATTGCGGATGGGCTCTTTTAACTAGCTGCGTAGGAGATATGAGAATTGAGCAAAATGGAAGGATGGATAAAACTGGGTTCGAAAAACTGAAGAAGAGCGATAAAGGCAACATGAAACAGCAGTTGCAACCCATTTTACTTCAGTAATCTGACGGTTTTCAACAAGTGAAATGAAATAAGATATTTAATGAGAAAACAAAATGTAGAATGAGGACTCTTTTTTTCCCATTGGAGATTGATTAGTTTGTGAAAAGTGGGCATCACATACAAGAATGGTGCCAGGTGGTAAAATGGGTTAAATGTAAGAGTAATTTGTGCAGGAGGTTTGACGGATTAAACAGCCTCTACTGGTAGATGTTGTAACTACAAGTTACTAAAACTAAAAGAATTGAGAGAAATCTCAATTTCGAGAAATTGATCCTTATGACTGGTTTTGTGGTCCATGGTCACATATCTAGGTGTACGTCAAAGAGCACCTCTGAGTAGTACAATGGCGAGTCACTGCAAAGATTTGTTCATTCCTGTGATGAGTAACTCCAGCAATGCTATCCCTAATGTCATGCTGCCATGTGTGACAGGGGCCCCCTTGAGAAGGTGCAGCAGAAGTAAAGTTCCATCTGTGAGTGATTTAATGGCTACAGTTCCAAAGATGACGTGTAATAAAATGGTAGGTATGGGTGGCTAGACTCAATTAGGGACAAACCCTTTCCCTCCGAGTCCACCACATGCCCTAATCTATATAAACATCTGCTTGAAGTTCCCCAATGAAGACCATCAGTCCTGCTGGTGTGACCTCATGTGGACAGATCCCGCCACCTCATGCTATTGCTATAGCTCAACATGAAGAACTATGTGATGGGTACAGTACAACCCCCTCACTTTTCTGTACTTTCCCACAACTGAATTTTTAAAAGATAGCTCACCCAAAAATGGAAACTGTGTCATCGTTTACTCACCCTGTGTTATTCAAAACCCTCCTGACACAAATTCTTAAGACTGTGCTGCTCTCGTTTCCCCATTCAAGAGACCTTAGTCAGGTTAGACGCCATGTCGAATTTTATGTGGATGAAAACGAGGCTTTGAGGGACAGACTAAAAGTCTTTGCAATAGCGTGCACTGTATAAAGGTTCTAGATCACTTAATTTTCAAAACAGTTTAATGGAGTGTTTGTCTACTTATTTATTTATTCCAGAAAGACATTTCACCAGCTGAACATCTGGCATGTTGTTAAACAAAAGTAGAATACATTGAACACCCTGTATTTGCCAGCAGCCATATCACCCTGTAGCCCAAGACTGGTTGCCCACTGAAGCTAAGCAGGGTTGAGCCTGGTCAGTAC